ATTAGAAATGAGTTTAATTTTGTAACTGAAATAAAAAAAATTCTAAAAATGTTAACTTTCATTTACGGTTTTTCAAATTGCATATTTTTTTGTAATTTTTTTCACTTTAAATTTGATTTCAAGTATCAGTAAAGGAAATGGCAAAATATTAGAAATTGAAAGCCTTTCTTACCATTATTTAAAGTAGAAAATTTTTCAAAAAGTTATTTAATAGAAACTCAAAAAGTAATAAAATATTTATTTTATTATATTTGCCAGTTTTCGACAAGAAATGAGCGATTTTATGCAAGCAGAAAACTGCACTCAAAACTGATATCTAATTAATTCTTTTTATAAAATAATTAATATTTCTATTACAAAAATACATCCAAAAATGTAGAATTTTTTAATGAAAAACTGTAATTAACAAATAATTAAGAAATTTGAAGTACAATGTAAATCTAAGTAAACAGTACCAGATATAAATTTTTAAAGCTAATTCTTACTTTTTCTTGCATAAATAGAAGAGAGATTTCTTTAAACTCAACTTAGTGTCATCATCCATCACATATATCAACTTGTTCTCAGAGACTCAATTTCAAAAGCTTTGTCGCACGCGAAGAACATTACTGTTGTAAAATTTTTAAAAAAAAGTTTAATAATAGAGTTTAAAAAAATATCCTTTCTAAAATTTTTAATGAGAAAAAAAAACTCGTTCAACAGAAATGAAATCAGTTAATATATCTGATGGGTAATACAAATCTAATCAAATGTATTATAAATTTGCAACAAATCTTTAGAACAAAATTATTTATTTTTCTGTTGTTTAAAGGTTAGAAGAGAAGGAGAAAAATGCGAAAAAAAACATTAGCAAAAATAAATTAATGGAAATTCAATCAGTTGAATTCAAAATTAGATCAGTTAAATTAAAATTTTAAGTAGCCTAGATTAGAATATAGTAATTGAATTAATCTGTAAACTTGTATAACCGTTGATGTGACCTTTTATGTTTAACCTGTGATCAAAAAGAAGAAAAGGTTTAATTTGAAAAATGTAAATACACATTGTCGGTGAAAGATCAGTTCGTTAAAAGTGATGAAGGACTAATTTACTGAACAAAAAATTTTTTTCCAACAATTTTACCTCTCTAGCAGTCCTTCTGATTACATCTGTTACCATTACTAATCATTATTGCATTTTATGCAAATTTCAGAAACAATCAATCACTTTGTGCCAAATAAAAACTTAAAATTTCCTGTTCTGCTAATACTTAATAATCAATATTTATTAAAATATAATAAACTTTTCCATAAAATAAATTTAAAAATTTGGGCTTACATTCAGTATTAAATCAAAATTAACTAATTATGATAGCATTCTAATAAATGCAACAGAATGCCTAATTTATAGCTAAATTGTCATAAAGTGAAGCATTTTAATTATTAGTTTAACTACAAATTTTTTATTTTTATTTTTTATTTCAATTTTTTTGTATGAATAATTTAATTACTATTTTTATTATTTAAATTTTTTGTTTTGATTTCCAATTCAATTTTTTGTCATGAATAATTTAATTATCATCTCCATTATTTATCGCTGAAATTTTTGATACATTCTCCAAAAAAACGAACAAATTTTCTATGGAAAAAAAATTTTGAGCGAAATTTGTGAAAAAATTTACATTTATTATTTTTGATTACGATTTATCAATTTTATAATTTACTTTTCACTGTTTGCATACTTTTTTGCATTCTTGACAATACTTATGCTGTTTATTTTAGTTGTACTTTAATTTCCACTTATTTATTGAGAAAACTTTGTTGAATAATTTTTTATACGAAAAATTTTCATTACTCAAAAGTTAAACAAAAAATCACTATCACAAATTATCATTATAATTGATTATGCGAATAATTATAAAGCATTCATATGCTGATTTGTTGACTTACTATTTTTTACTGCAAAATATTATCCAAAAAAACAAATTCAACAATTTTTTATTGTGCAATTTATAATTTTCTAAATTTTCTGGAAGTAAACTGTATAAATGACAAAGAATTCCAAGTATAAAAATCAAAAGCAAAATAAACTGCTTGTATTTACATAAAGGATTTATTGTAAAAGTTCTGCAAACAGACGATTGAGATATCTTAACTTGATATGTTTCTGTCTTGTGCTTCTAAAATATAAAACAAAAAAAAGCATATTAATAGCAAATTAAATAAACAAGTTGTACAGCAATTATCAAATTTGTTATAATAATTCCTTCAGAAGAATAATTAATGGTAATTCACAAAGCGACTTGTAATTTCTAATTTCTTCAAAGCAGATAGAAAAAATTTACAGATTCATAAAATCTAAGAAGCTTTTACCTGAAGCATGAACTGATTGCCGTATTTTGCTAAATACACATAAAATAAAAAATAATTCTAACAAATTTTTTAATTAAATCATCAATTTATTCTAACAATAAGTTAATGATTTGATTAAATTTCCATGTACCAGCTTGTATTAAGTATTAAAAAAATAATCAGTAGATAATTGAATACAATATTTACTACACATTTGTGCTCTGCTGACTAGTGCTAACTTTTATTGCAACCTGAAATTAATATTTACTTAAGCTTTTTAATGAAAGGAAAGAAAACTTTTTGCTTGCGATAACATGTTTGACTATTTTGATAATAATGTTTAGATAAGCTTTCACTGCTAGCATTGTTTTTGCAATTATTATTTCTAATTTGTAAACCTGTTAGCAGTATTTTCTTATTGATATTGAAGGAAGAAGTTTAATTTCTAGAAATATAAAAATAAAAGCAAAAGTTTAGAGCTTGGCTAGCAATAATTTCAAATTTTACTTTTTAATTCAGAGCTAATATAGCTTTGAGTTAGAAAATAATATTCATAGAAAGTCACCATTTGTATACAGAACTTTAATCTTATCATCGAGTAATCAATTTCCGAAATTTTGTAAAAACAGGTTTTCAACGTAAAAATTGAAATAATAATTTTTTCATTAATATGATAATTTTGTACAAAAAAATGGTGAGTGTTCAGTAAATGGTGTTAAGAAAGCTTAAATGCTTAAAACTTTATTGATGATAAAGTTGCAATAGATAAGAAACTTTCAAAGATTTGCTTTGTTATTTTTAGTATTTCATTTAACAAGTTACAAATATTCATTATAACGCTAAAAATAGTTAAAAAAAACAATGCACTTCAGAATTATCTCACATAATTAGTGTAATTGTACAATTTTGATTGCATATATGATGTACAAGTATGGTATATTGATTGGATGATTGTTTGATTGATCTATTTAATCATTGACTCTTACAAAAACAAGTTTTAAAAACTTGAAATTTTTGTTGAGCAAACTTAATTAATAACAATAAACATGTGAAAATAATAGTCCTTAAGATTATTTGATATCATTTAATTATCACTTTTAATAACTGATAGAGAATTAATGGTAATTAAATTGAAACTGAGGATTACACAATGAAACCATATTTGAAGGTAAAAATTAAGCAGTAAATATTATTTTAAAATAACTTTGTAAACCATGTAATTATAATTGCATTTTTCTCATATATTTCATGGAAAAATATTATTGAGTATTTGTTCACAGTATTTATTAAGCATGTAATAATTTTATTTTTATCACTGATTATTAAAAAATGCGATTGTAATGCTATATATTGAATAAATTTTAAATCATTTATAGATGTCATTTTGCTACGATTAATTTACTAATAACTAACTTTCAGTGTATATCAAAAATAAGCCAACACGCAATTTATTGGCATACTGAGTGATAAGTCGTTTTCAGTTTGAAGAACGTCTTGTTCGAGACCTGGAACAAGCAGTTGAATCTGATTCCTTCTATTAGAATATTTTAATAACATCTTTAATCATTTATATTTTCATCAATATTGCTGCTAAATATTATCATTGCACTGATTAAATTCTTATCATTTTCATCCGCTACTGCTTTTATCAGTCCCATTTGCTTTTGCTTATTATTTTACGTGCTCCAAAAGTAAGGACTGAATTATTATTCTACTGTAATAATTTTTTGGCAGTGCTATTATGTGCATTCTTATTATTTTTGCCTTTCTATTATAATGATTATTATTAGTGGTAATCGCAATAATTTTTTGATCCGTTTACTCTGAGATGCAATTCAAATATACATTACTTTCCGAATAATAACCTAAACACTACTAGTAAAAGTGATAACGATAATTATAACAGTTAAATGTTATGAAAAAATAGTTTTTTAATATACCTTTGATTTTTCTAACATTACTTTTTGCATGATAACATGTAATAATATAAAATTTTATCATTGTCATAACTGTTAAACAAAACTGCTTCGAAATAGTACATTTCATGAAAATATTCCATTTTAATGAATCAACGTCAAGTGCAAATAGCGCTGAAATCAAATTGAATTAATGAATTAAATCTTCAAATTCATGCCATTCGTTAATTAAAGATTATATATTATATGTAGTTTTTTAAGTTCGTATCATTGCTACATAAAGGCAAAACATAAAATTTGAATATTAAAAATCTCATTTCTGACCACATATTGAAAATAAACTAGCAGGTAATCAAGTTTTGATCAAAAATCTATCAATGGCATTCTTAGATTGATTGATTTAATATTTAAATTTGGCTTATTTTTAATGAAATATTTATAGATAAAAATAAAGACACTTTATCAGAAATAAGTTAAGAAAAAAAATTAAAATTCTACAAAGCTACGTTTACTGACACTCTAAAATTAAAGAAATCAACAAATATCAGAACTTGAAATTGAAAAAATTTTCACAAATGACAGATGGTAATGTAATTAATATGGATCTAAAATGACGCTAATTTGCATAATAAAATAAATAATTCTGTTTATTCTCATAACTTTCAGTTTTTAATTTTTGTACATATAATTGAATCTTTTCTACGTGAATAACTGCAGTCTTCCATTAGTGAATGTAATAGTAATGAATTTCAGCATGAAAACAGAATATGCCAAAATTTATTTATTCATATTTGTATTACTTCAAACTCAGTCGGAATGCTATAAAATATTAGTATACAATCCAAAGTTATCATATAGCCACGTCAAGTTTTTCGGTCAAATCGCTGATTTATTGGTAGAAGCTGGTCATGATGTGGTATGATTCTCTACTTTATTTACCTTGAAAATATTTTGATCAAAATAATATCTTCAGAACAGCTAAAAGCGAATACTTTTCAGGTAACTTATATGCCAGATGCAGCTACGGGTCTAACATTTAATGGTACGAAATTAGCCCGGATTATTCCTGGTCCACCTCTTATCGACAATTCCACGTTATTGTTAGAAGATATAATTAAAAATGCTTGGGATGAAAGATTCTTTGATTTTTTTTCCATAATAAAGGTTAAAAATGCTGTGTTATTTTCATTATCATATTTGCATCATTACTCTCATTACTATTACTGGTATTATTAATTACAAATTACAATGAGAGTGAAAAGTAGTACAGTACCATCTATGTTTTTTATTAAAGTTAACTATTTATTACAATTATAAAAAGATTATAGCCAGAATTATCTCTATCAAGATCAGAACACTCAAAAAACTTCAATAATTTTAAACGAAATGAATAAGTAGATAATCTAACAAAAATGTATTCCACTGCAGAGAATCAAACAACAAATGGAAACACATATTCAGACCTGTTCAGGTTGATTTTTTATTATTTTAATATTTGAAATTTCTATAATAATACTTGCAAAATTATAAAATTCACAATTGGTGAATACAGTGGATATGTGTGTGTGTGTAGCATTGCGTCTGGATGTAAGACTAATAGTCATTTGTACAAGTGAATGCAAATTAATGATAAATTTTATAAATAAATATATTATTTTACTGAATTTAACCGATAATATACATTTGCATAATTATTTTTATTTCTGCAATATTTTTGCCCAGTAATATTTTCTACTATTATATTTATGCTCTGTAGTATTTATTACTATATTATTATCATAATTTCACATTCAATTATAAGTAGAAGCAATTAAAAAGCCGAAAATTTAGTAGGTTTTGCATTATAATTAGACAGTAACTGATTTAAAATTTGTGTCTCGAAATGATTCAAATTAGCTGGATATTATTATGCTTGCTTTTAGGCGATTTGAAATCCGTCATTTCAGCTCAAGTCAGCAATAATGAATCTATGCAGCAGCTTCGAGAAGAAAATTTTGATTTTGGCATTACTGAACTGATTAGCCCTTGCGGTTACGCTGTATTCCACAAGATTGGACTAACAAATTATGCAACTGCTTTTGCCACGGATATATTAGCAGTTCTGTCGTCATCATTAGGTGTAAACAGTAATCCAAGTTATGTACCAAGTAAGTGTACTAATTTATTTGCATTCTTTTTAAAAGCTAATATTTATTATAATGCTATAACACATCACCAATGACGTTGTGGTAAACTTTATATTCATTTTCTGAAAAAATGACTGATTAAAATCAATTAAATATTCAAATTCTGATATAAAAAATTAAGATGATTTAAATACAATCAAATTAATTGCACTAGCAATATGTATGTATATATACGAATAGTAAATAAAAGCTTGGAATGAATAACTTGTACTAATGATGCTAAATAAGTCAACATTAAACATTACTGAATTGATGATAGCAGTGATTACGGCAGACATGTAGTAGATAATTGAAAATATTTTAGAATACACATAATGTAGTCAATCTCTGAAACATTTAGTTGCTTTTGGTGGCACTGAAAACGTAATGAATTACTGGGAAAGAATGACAAATACATTCTACTATTTGCAAATGAGTTTGATTCATTTTATAATTTCGAGATTTAATTTTGAAGCAATAACGAAGCACTTATCAAGTGATTTCCGATTAAATGTAAGTTGTGTTCAAATTTCTACACATTAAATGAGGCAGAAATCATTTTTATTTTTTAATAAACAATTTGTCAAATTAATAAATTAAAATGAATTATAAAACGTTTAAACACAATGCGTTAACTATTACAAAAATCTTTTGAAATTATCTTTCACATGCACTAATGATTACTAATCAAGTCAAGATCATTAATCAAATTAATGAAAAATGCTGCACATATCAGTGTATAGAAATGATAACAAAATGATTTAATTTAATTTAATTATGCATACTTTCTAAGAATACTGAATTAGTAAATGATTAATTAATTAATTAATCATTAATGATTTTCTCAACATTTACTCAAAGCTACAAATATTTACCATTTCATGTAAATTGTAAAGAAGTGTAAAATTCAAATTTTATCCTTACTGAAGTTATCAAGATTCAATGCAGGATGCAATTCAAAAAAGTTCATTTGCATTTATCAATTCGGATCAACTATTACAAGATCAACATCTGAGCAGTCCTAAATTAGTTTACATTGGTGGAATCGCTACTACTCGTCCTAAATCGTTAAATAAAGTATAAACATTCAAATCATTTTCCAAAAAATAAGCCAAGTAAAAAAGATGATCCGTAAGCTATTAAATGTAAAATATAAATACTTGTTCACAGCTACGTCAAACTAAAATCATGTCAAAAAAAATCCCTAAGAAAATCAAGTATATACTGCTCATGTGAATTGCCTAAACCGCCAACAATAATGATGTTCAACATCAAATATTATATTAAAATATTTGAGCTTCGTAGATTATTTGTAGTCATAAAGTTGAAGTCTTCTTGATTGAATTTTTAATCTATTATTGCTCACATCCTGTAGCTGTACTTATCTTCAATCAAATCTACATTATATGTTAGCAAAGACTTTCAAAATGAAAATACTTTTTACGAATTTCAGCAATTTCAAGATATTCTGAACAAATCAAACAGTGTTGTGTTGGTATCATTTGGTAGTTTAGCTAAAAGTAGCAACATGCCTCAACATATCAAAAATTCTTTTCGAGAAACTTTCCGCAGCTTTCCTGAGGTTAGCCTAATTATAGAATCCTTTTGGAGCTCTAATTCACGAAAATAATTTCGCTTTTACGCTGTATTTCATTGAGTTAAGAAAAACTACTAAAAATATCTGCGGATGATTTGACATCAGGCAATAACTCTATTACTGTCTGATAATACTTTCATGGATTTCTCTACTTTGTGCAACCACCTTGAAAAATGACACGTGTCATTATCAGATCACATTTATATGGAAATATGAAGAGGATGATCAATTTGCTCATGAACTACCCAATGTCATCAAAAAGCAGTGGATACCGCAACAAGAGCTCTTGGGTATAATTTTGTTATTTTTTGCCAGATAAGAGCAACTTGATGCAAACTCAGCACTCAACTACTGATAATTCTATCATTAAAACAGTCTAAATATTATTACTTCGACAACTGCAGAAAATGATACATGAGTGAATACTAATGGCCTCTAGTTCCTGTTGAAGTTGAACTTGATTTGTTTTTGACCAAAGCCACAATATTTATTATGAAGAACATAAATTATTGTTAGTGTTGCTTGTAAATAAATGCATCACAGGTGTGGTGTAATTTTCCAACTAGAATTTCCAAAACGTCTCAGTTGTTTCTGTAATGCCAAATCTTTATCCCATATGTACAAGTGAAAAATGTGAATGAAGGCTCAGTAATCACAAATATTCCAGACTGAAAATTGAAAAGTTGCCCTGATAGCTGCTTGTCCCAGTTTAAAAAACTATCATAATGAAAATGAATCACTTCTCGGATCTTTACTTGGATCTAAACTAGAAATCCTGATTATAACAATGATTTACGGTTTCAGTATCGTACGAACGTTACAAACTGAAATAAAAAAAATCACGTAATATTTCTTTCAAAAAACATAGTCTTAAATATTTGAAAGGTTTTGCAGAAGATTAAATCTTATCCAATACACTTTTAGAACACCCGAAATTAAAAGTATTCATATCACACTGTGGACAAAACAGCGTTGAAGAAAGTGTACAAGGTGGAGTGCCACTTTTATGTATCCCATTGTTCGGTGATCAAATGCGAAATACCGGAAAAGTTTTAAGACGGAAAATTGGAATATTTGTGGACAAACATCACATAACACCAGAAGTCATGAAGAATGCATTACTAGAAATTTTGTATGATAAAAGGTAATGCACATAAAAATTAATAGACTATGAAGAGCTAAAATACTTTGCAGAATATTGAAATTTTAGCACAAATGTGTATTTTTAAACGTTACATATTGTCAGGTATATAGCTCAATCATAATTCTAGTAATATTTACAAGAAAAATTTCTGGTTTTTCTGTTTACCCTATCCACTTCATTTATTTAAAAAACACATAAAATGAAAAGCATTTCATATAATAGAGATTGCTAAAATATTTCACACAAAATTTCTTATATCTATAACACTTTCTTGTACATAAATTTAACAAAGGTTTCAAAAGTTAACAAAACCATATTCAAAAACGTATATTTTCCAGAACTTTTTCAGGTATCTCGAAACATCCCTGAACTTGAGAGAGATGATCAAAAATAAGCCAATAACACCACAAGAATCTTTATTACGACACATTAATTTTGCTTCGAAATTTGGACCTATCGATAACTTTGACATCGCCTTAAACAAATTGTCATTTTTTCAATATTACCTGCTAGATATCCTGATCCCCTTGTTAGCAGTTTTCGTGTTTCTACTTTATTTTATCTTTCGTATGTTCCGCAATATCTTGTACAAGCTGCTCATTATATGGAAAGCGAAGACTGATTAAACAAATCTTTTATCATTCTGAAATAAAGCATAAAAAATTGAATTGTTTGGACAGACAAACTTTGTATAATCCCAATACCTTAAACAATACAAAAACGACAAAACCACGAATTTTAAAAAAGCACTTCGAAACATTTTATATAATATTAAAAAAAACTATAGAACGACCTTTGAGTTCTGTAATCTTTAATAAATATAATATAAATGCATTTACTGATCTACCCATTAATGGCATACATAAAATAAACATAAGGTACAAATGCTACGCCCATGCTGCACTACTAGATTACATTATCCTAGAGCTATCATAACAAATGTTCATCAGAACAATACTTTTCGTTACATAAAAATTACAGAAAAATACAAAATACAATTATCTCATCTCATTCCAAAAATCTATGCATATTCTTCTATTAATTTCAAAGATGACTAGTAATGATTGTGTTTGGTAACGTTTTAGATGCAGACTTAGACAGTTTAAATCACCACACTACTACATAATATTTGCTTCTTAATCAATCTTTGTTGGCTGATCCAAGTTAAGCCAATACCGAAACATAAAATGGTTTTAATCAATGCTCAGCTAAGAGTTGAGTCACTATGTGTACAGCTCAAAATTCAATGTCATAAAATCTACAAATGGAAACTGTTTTAATCAAAATAATAATTTGTAAAGAATGTACAAGCCAATACATAGAGTCAGATGGTAAATCAAGATTCAAAAATGACTACCATTCACCTATTTAAGATATTAAAGAATAATCCAAAAGTTACAAAATCATACTGCAAAAATTTTGAAATCCATAGAGAAATTTAGTGAATACAATACATTAAAAGCAATACAAACATGAGCGATAATAATGCTAATTATGTCAAAAAAGACAAAAGTACAACAAACAGAAAAGAAGCAAAATATTTTACGATAATACTTCATTACTTTATAAGCGTCTGTTTTTACTGTTATAATATTTTGGGCCGCAACTATTTAATGCGGCCACCAATTGCTAAATTATTATTTGTCGCCTATCGATTGTGATTAACATTGAGCTTGCAAATTTACCGCATTATAAAGGTCTTAAGCATATCAGTTGTTTATTTGACGTAATTTTGGTTTGTGTATGTATATAAGTTATGCTGCAATATTATTTTGACTATTTTGCGGTCTAAAATCTTGTTGTAAGCTTAGTTGTTGTGGAAATTTGTTATTTTATGCTAATTTTTGAAATTTCTATCTCATTTATAATACCAATAAGATTGTTTTCAGTTGATAAAATTGAGGAAAGCAGCAAATATTAGTGTATATAAAAGTATAAAGCATATAAGTAATTTCCCTTCAACAATTCACTTTTACTTGTTTGAAAGGTCAATATTTTAATTTATTTTAATTGGAATTTTATGAATTATTTAGTAAATAGTGCATGCCAACGTAATGTAGAATAGGTAATGTAAAATAGGGAATATAGAATAGGGAATGTAGAGTAGCTGTCAGGTAAAACTGTTATAACAGCTCTATGAGGTCAACTTTCTGAAGTGTATACTTTTATGATATGATGTAGAAGAACATTGTGAACATGCGAGCCGTAATTGCTGTTTGTCGTAATGCGTGTGAAAAGTTATTCCAAGTTTCGTTTATTTATAATTTACGGTAGATTTAAACAGTTCGTGCGTGCAATTCTTGTTTTTGTCAAGTTATTACTATTCTCGTTATATTTTTATCAAATATTGAGCGCTAAGTGACAAACGTATTGATATGTGATCTGTTCATCAAATGATCAGTGAATAAATAAATTATTCTTGATGCTACACTGATCATAAACGTTTATCACTTAGCGCTCAGTATTGACAAAAATGTTTAATAATGAATAAAATATTTTTTTACAGGAAACTTGTGTAAATTTCGCAGTACTGTTTTCTTTGCAGAATTTGATTTTGTGATAAGCAAAAAAAAAAAAACAGTTATAATTGTAGGAATAATTTTAATAATAATAATTGATAAACAAAAGTTACGACCGGTGGTGACTGCAGCCATTATTAAGTGTCGTAATCGTCATTTATTACTACTTTTATCGAAAGGCTTCGCTCGCCACTGAATGCTTGGAAGCGATTGCCAGCAGATCTTATTTTTCATCATTCTTCGATCTCATTCGTATACATTTGTGGTTCATACTTTTGTAATTAGGTTTGTTTTTAAATTTTGATTAAGTTAAGTTTTAAATAAGTTTTTTTCTGATTACATTCACAAAACGTTTAGAATTGTGAGAAATAGACTATTGTTACGAAAACGTATTCAAATATAACATTGCTATACAGAATATTTCTTTTTAACTGCATCATATTTACAATATCTTATAAAAGTAAGTAGGATTAAGACTGGTTTTTAAATCTTCTATGACTTGTATATAGCTTGATATCGGTATATTTGCAAGAAAATGGAATAAAGAAGGAGGGAATAATTTAGAAGGAGGGAAATAATTTAGTAAAAAAGATCTTATAGACACATAAGTTGAGAAAAGTGTAAACTTCAGTTTTTGGTTTCAATTATAAAATTTTTCTTCAGAAGTTTTCAATTTGAATAAATATACATGATGATTAGTAATGACTTTGCTGATTTTGCTGGAAATAGCAGGTTTCAGCTGACTGTTGAAAGCATATTTCAATGGCTGAAAAAAGAAAACTGCTCAATGAAATTGATAAATGTTTCAAAAAGGTTGATATTTCTTCTCGATATTTGAAATCAGGTTGTCAAAGTTTCTTTCGTATAAATTGATTCATTTTAAAGACAGAATTTCATCTTAATAGGTAGAAGAAGGAGTAGAATTGTTTGAAGAAACAATGGCTAAAATGCAAGAAGCAAATAGTGATAATCAAAGAGAAAAGTTCCAGGTATTTAATCCATTTTACTTTCACTCTTTGTTTCTTCTTTGAAACATTCTCTATTTTCGCATTTTAAAACTTTTTGCTTAGTCATAATGTGGGCAATCGAATCAAGTTTTGAATATTATTTATTGTTTTAATTATCGTAATGTTCCTATACTTTGTTTAAAATAATGTATTGTAACCAAAGTCTTCGATCAGTAAAATGCATGTCACTTTGGTTTGTGTGTTGGAATATATAGCGATGTTAGCAAACGTTTTTTAGGATGATTTAAAAAAAGAAATTAAAAAATTGCAAAGGCTCAGAGATCAGATTAAGGGTTGGCAAAATTCATCTGATATCAAAGTAAGTATTACAGTATTTTGGATTTATGCTTTTTGTTTTTTAACACAAGGTTTTCTTTCGTGCATTATTTTAAAGATTTTTCAACTCTCAAGAGTGTAAAATAAATGATTAAAAGACAGTCAAGAAACTGCTAAAAATTCAGTAAGTATCTGCATATTTCTTTCAGATCGGCCCATTTTTATTGACATTTTTGCAATTCCGTCATCTGGTAATTTGTCTTCAAATAATTTATTAATTTTTGATAGCATTCGTGAGAACTGTTTTGTTTAGGACAAAGATAAATTGATATCTTATCGGAAATTAATTGAACAGAGGATGGAGCAATTCAAAGATATTGAGAGGGAAAATAAAACCAAACCTCACAGCAAACAGGGTTTGTCTGCTGAAGAAAAGCTTGATCCACGAGAAAAAGAAAAAGCGGAGACTGTGGAATGGTTGCAGGTATTTTTTGTGATTAGTAATATTGAAAATTTCGCTTCTTGTTCTTGTAACTTGTTAGACTAAAGTTTTTATGGAAGGACTTTAGTGTCAAATAAGATATATGGAAGATGAAGCAGACAAAACGGAATCACAAATTGAACTGTTATCAACAGTTGATCAAACGAGAAAAAAAGGCAAGAGAGATGATCCAAAGAAAGGCGAAAAGGAGGTTAGTCAATTTTGCGTGTTAATTGAGTTGGCAAAAGACTGCTTATTGATAACCTTATTCTAATATGTACATTTTGAATTACATTCTCACGAAATCCTGCAGTTGCTGACGTCTAATCTTTACTACTGCTTATATTTAATTTGTTAATTAATTGAGTTAAAGAAATTCGAATTTCGAGGAGCTTTTATTATCATATAAATTCTCTTAGTTGCTATACATATTACTGTATAAATTAGAAAGTGATTTTTCACTTTTAATACTGTGAAAAATGAGAGTTGTATTCGATTACGTACCAGGTAAGATTTATATTTTAAATTGCAAAAAAAGGTTCAAAAAGTTATTAGTGGCAACAAGTTATATTGACTGTTTCAGAGACTGAAACGACTGGATGACTTAAGGAAGCATTTGGAACGGATCAGGTTTCATGTGTCAAAATTAGAAGTTTGTATGAGACTTGTTAATAATGAAACATTAGAAAGTAGAAAAGTAATTGATTCATTGAAAGAACCCTTTGAAATGTATATTGAATCATTGGATCCCGAAAGTGAAAACGATCCTGAATCATTTGATCCCGAAACTACAGGTGATTGCAGCAAACGTTTCAGCTTTAGAACATGTTTGGAAAATTTTCATCTCTTTTTCAAACATATCAAAAATTTTCACCTCTTTTTGGTTTGAGAAAAACTTGAATGACTACAGTCGTTTTGACTGCAATCACTTCAGTTATTTTGCATGTATTATAGTGGCTTAGATAACTTTTAATATTTATTATATAAATA